TTGATCGGAGGCACCGGTTGACCTGAAGTGATGCTGTGACCGCGCGCTCTAAGCCCTCTATCTCGAAAACGGTTCACCGTATGAAAAAAATTTTTAAACAAAATTTGTAGAGAATTTTGTATTCTACATAATTGATAATAAATACCAATAGCAAAAAACCCATAGGAAATGAGATATTTTCAAAAAAAGCGCAAAAAACCGATTTTTGTGACCTTTGACCTTGAAATTTAATAGTTGCGAACACCCTACCATATGTAGGTTTTGAGACAACTTTTAGGGTGTCAATATACAAGTATTTACAGACTTACAGCTGAGTATCTGAATTCCGAGGTGAACTTACTATAATGACTGGACTAATAGGCCAAGATGTTGTAGAAAGTTCTGTATTTAACTTTTTAAAAATAGCTTTTGCAAAGTTGAACCGAGTACGGAAGCACGAAGTTTGATAATTATTATCGCGTACATTGCTCATGATTTCGACAGATATTTCGAAATGATACGAATCCTCTGGTAGAACAAGAGTATTACTCTGAATAACGGAACACTTTGAAGAGGTATCAACGTATACTAAATCTAAGCATTTACCAAATTTATTCGGAATCAAATTAATTTGGTTCAGACCCAACTCGGACATTTTTTCGAAAAACTCATGAAAACAAGACCGATTGCAAATCGGTAAGATATAGTCAACGAAAGCTTTCCACGAAGCACACAGTATATTGAAATCTCCTAATACGATTATTGAATCGGCATTATTTGCCATCGAAGTAGCACTATTTATTAAAGAAGCATGCTGCATGTATACAGATAAGTCCGAATGGGGTGGTACATAAGACAGGGTTAAATAAATAAAGCAACTATTAACATAAACTCTAATACATTTAAATTCAAATGGGTCGGTTCCTGGAACAAAAACATCTTCAGATGGGATAGAGGAATGTACGGCAAATAGAACACCTTCACCGATTCTGTTTAGTCGATCACATCTAAATATTTGAAATTCGCTATTTAAAATCTCATTATCAAAAATGTGAGGTTTTAACCATGTTTCTGTAAGTCCAATTATATGGAAATTAAAATTGGAACTGTTTATTACAAGTCGGTTAATTTTGTATTAAGACCTCTAACATTTTGATAATAAATGCTTAGCGAATTTTTACCAATCATTTTTTTAGATCGGTGGTTGCTTTTGGTAATTTAGAAATGTTTTCCTCAGTTTGACTTCTAAATTTAGGCTTAAATTCGCGTACAAAAGCCCCAGGTGGCCAGAATGAACTACATATCTAAGATCTTTTTGAATGTTTCAAGAGATACGTCTATTTTAAACGATGATATACTTCTATCATAATTGAAGTTAAATTTACGGATATTGATATCATCAATTTTTAAACGTGACGAAATGTAAGACTTAATGTCCTCCACCAAGGTATCTTTGGCAAGTCTAGAAATAAATATAGACTTTTTAAGTGGAATAACTATCAAATTTTTAATAGATGTTACTAAGTTATTAGGGGGAGCCTCTGGAATTGTTAGATACTTATTACTATTAGATAGAGCTTTTGGAGAATTGAGCTCTTGATTTTAATTAATATAGTTACTTTTGTCTGTTTTAGAAGGGTCACGATCTCTTGAATTCATATTATAAATAATTTGGTATATTTATGTGTGACTACTTTTATTAAAAGTAGTTAAGTTATGTTTAAAAGACGGAAAAAATCAGGACAAGCTAAATTAATTTGCTTTTTTATATAAGATAATCATTTAGCGCAGAAATATAAGTTACGAATGTATCTGCTCCTATTGAAATTATTGATTAAGTGTGGCTAATCCCAAAACTCCCAAGCATACCTAAGTTAAATTTTAAGGACGAGAAGAATTATATCTGCACACAAACGCATTAATTCGAATCGTAATTATAGCGTGTTTTTATTCTGCCAATATAGTAACAAATAATTAACAAGAAGTTCTTTAACGTACCTCAATTTCTAACGAGTCCTTCAAATTATTTTTACAGCTCCGCTTCTCGATCACTTCATTGTTGAGTGCAGCAATTGCATCTGCTTTACTAACCTCGAAGCTTGGGCTTAAAGCATCCGTTGCTGGTCGATCTGTTGTAACCGAAATTTTCGTGTAAAGGGATTCATATGAAGGCGGCTCTGTTGAATTGTTCAATGGGGCCCTAGATTTGTTTAAGTTAGGAATGGAGCCATAATAAGAATATGAAAACCGGAAACTGTGATCTCTCAATGAGTCCGTAATCTTATGATGTGAGCTAATTATTATAGAATTGCATTCATGACTACCACTTGCACTATTGTTGTTCATATTCTTGTAAAGAATATGGGAAAAAGGCACATAAGGTGTTGATTGCATGGTGTTAGCTACATTTTCTGGCAATGATGATTTGGTGATCGCAACAGGCGGGCACAATTGGTATTTTCCACGTTCGTACGTACTGGTTTGTGGTTCATATGCAGTTCCATGATCATAGGTGCTATAAGATTTACGTAGTCGATTTGCTTGATCCCGTCGATCATCTTCATCCGAGGAACTATCGGTCCATGAACGTTCGTATGGCGTCCATAGCATAGATGAGAGCGCCTCCTCGGCGTCAGGTGGTCTTCGTTGATGCGGAAAAGTTCGATCTGTGCTCATAATGTCGTCGCTTTAGATGAATAAAATATTTGCTTTCAAATAGCATTTCATTGATGGAGATTGCTGTTTTAAGTAACAGGGACTATTTTTTATGTTCCTGGGTTATCAACTGTAGATAACTACAGAAACACTCTATCGTAAAACCTATAAGTACATAAAAAATACACATTATTACAATAATGTATATATATTTTTTGTATACTCGTAATATCCAGTTTTATTTAGAATCTGTATAGTTATTAAGATGACAATAACTAACTTTACTGGTAGAACCATGATGTTGAAATACAATAAAAAATATCTTACATAAATGATGGTGAGATCAATCAAAAGAGGAGATCTAATGGATGATATATGTACATATTTTTAGTCTCCTAAATTGTCGACATTTATCCAGCAGTTCACACTACTATTACCAGCAGATCACAAGGACGTTATCATGGTTTTCGAGGAAATTAATGACTACTAAATTATTCTATAGTTTCTTTTACAGTGAGCATTTTTAAGTCTTGATGAACTTTATTTTAAAAGAATCAAATAACTTTAAAATTTGAATCAGCTGAGCTTCCTCAGATTGGAACTCCATACAAGCAGATCGGCCTGAGTATTGCCTTATATATGAGTAGCTTGTTCTTTAGACTGAGGCGGGACTTTGACTTTAGGAGTCAGTACTTCTGCGCAAACATTAATCTGAGCTGGGCTCTCTTGATTTTCACGTAATCGTTTTGCTTGATCCCGTCGATCATCTTTATCCGAGGAACTATCGGTCCATGAACGTTCGTATGGCGTCCATAGCATAGATGAGAGCGCCTCCTTGACGTCAGGTGGTCTTCGTTGATGCGGAAAAGTTCGTTCTGTGATCATAATGTCGTCGCTTTAGATAAATGAAATATTTGTTTTTGGACCTCATTAGTTTTGTTATAAATAAAGCATGTTATTTTGCATTGTGTCATATTTTCTGCTTTAAATACAAAATGTATAATAATAACGTGAATTAGGTATGAGATATTTTGATGATACTCAAAAAAAATGTTATTTGCTTTTGTATTGTTTTTTTGCGTAATACAGTACAAAAGAAAGACTATAATTATATGGTCTAATTATTACAAATATACTCTGAAGGTATGGGATAGTTTGAAAGACCGTTGGGTTTGAGGCGTTCAACTTGTGTTGGTGATCCATCTCTAGAAGTTAACATTGCTACTTCTGCATTCCAATGTTTTAGCATTAGAATGGCTTGATGTGCTGAAAATGTTTAATATTTCTGTGTTTATCGAGATTACGCTCTATATCAGCATTTCTACAATACTAAGGCGCTTTAACAATTAGTCTTAGTGTTTTGTTTTGGAATTGTTGGGTGACTGTCTTTTTACTTGCGTTAGCACATCTCTACAGTCGTGCAGCATAGCTCTATATCGGTCTAAGTACTTGTTTATAGATTATTAGCTTGTTTTCCATATATAAGATATGAACTCTGCACCGTAGCTTAGTGCCACGGGTCATTCCTAAATATTTAACAGAGTAATAGTCTGAAAGATTGTTGTTAACGATTCATCATAAGTTCCATTAACTTGAGAGATTTATGCTATACAATTTGGCAGCACTATTCTCTAGGTGCAATCTGGCATCATCATTATCAGCTGACGCACTTTAGGTTCGGCATTTCTACCGTTGTTTGGGTCAGACCATTGTGAAGCACACAAGAACAACAGGAATCACCATTATCAGGTGATGCGTTTGGCTTTGGCATATCATACCATTCTACAGTTGTTTAGTCAGGCCATTTTGCCGTATACAATAACAACTTTGTTATTTTTGTCAGTTCTCTTACATACTAATTTTCTATATAAGCATAAGTTAAGCATAAGATTGAGTTCAGTTGTTTGTCAATGGAATTGGATGGTACTTGGAGCGTACCAAATAAATAGTGGAAATAACGATAATAATAAAATAATCAAATCGTGTTTTATTGTACTGCAATCCGCCATTAGAACATTGAGTGTTTAGTGCATTCCTAAACATTTTTGGTGCCTCCTGTGAGGTGATATATACCAATCACAGTGTTAAGTGAATTTTGGAGTAATATGTCGGCATTAAACTTGCGTACATAAGCGCGCACCTCTATTTTGCGCATCTGGACGCAAGTTCAAGCGGAAAACTACCATCCAGACTGTGTCGAAGGTGAACAGCTCTTGGGTAGTGCCCGACAGCATTTCTCCCGTTTTATGGACAACCATTTTGCACTCGTTTCCAGCGCACATGGAGGCGAGTTGACAGAGCATGACGATTTGCTCGCTTCAACGGAGGAGATTTTCAACAACATTTGCATCAAATTAAAACGTAAAATGTCATCATCAGTCGAGATCCCCAACCAGGAGTACAGTCAGGCTCCAGACATGCGGTTGGATCCCGTTTCTATTCCAAGCTTTGACGGACAGCCGTCAAACTGGTTAGCGTTCAAGGATATGTTTGAGACACTAGTTCACAACAGAAGTGACTTACAACCCACCTATAAACTGGGAAAACTGCGACAGTATGTGAAGGCAGAAAATGTTCCATTAGTAGGTGGCTTGTACACAGGTGGGTATGAAGAAGTTTGGGCTGAATTGAAACAACGTTATGACAACCCCCGTACTCTTTCGGAGCACCATGTTCAGTATCTACTAGACTTGCCGACCCATCCACCAGAATCTCGAGCTACGCTACTAAATTTTGTAGATACTGTTCGTAATGCCTTTAGAGCGCTCGAAATGATGAATGTGCCAGTAAAACAATGGGATGCTATAGCCGTACCACTGCTATTACCCAAACTACCGGTTGTGACCCGAACCGAGTGGGGAATGAGCCTAAAATCCAAAGACATCCCGAAGATGGAAGACGTTATAATGTTCGTGGAACGGCGTGCAGCTAACCTGCCGACATCTTCGCCCATTACTCCACAGTTTTCAAGCGGACGCACATCAAGTCGTGTCGTGAAGACGCATCTGGCTATAAATTCTGGAAAAATTACTAATCCATTAGCAGCACCTGACAGGGCAACTAATTGCCCATCTTGTAATGAATTTCATCGCATTACGAAATGCCAAAAGTTTCGTAATCTTCAACTGGATGAACGCTGGAATCTGGTGAAACAGGCATCATTATGTTTCAATTGCCTCAAGGCCGGTCATCGTAATCGTGACTGTCCATCTGGGTTGTGTCTCAACTGCCAGCAGAAACACAATACTCTCCTATGTAGCAGGCCCCAGCAGAGAAGCGTTGAAGGCACTTCTACCAGATATACTCCTGGACCGGCGGCTACAGCGTCATTGGTGGCGCCCAAGGTACTTCCCCGACAACAATGACAAAGGAGCGACGTCCAGTCATTCCTCTTGCAGGGTGACCGGACTATACTCTTAGCAACGGCAAACGTGCTTCCTGCTGATTGGAAAGGTCATTTAAGGGAATGTCGCGCACTTTGTGATATTGGTTCTCAGGTGAGCTTCATTTGCGAATCATTAGTAACTGTTTGAATCTTCCTAGAAGCCCGTACGAGTGTCAAGTCGAAGGTATTGATCAAAGTCTTTCAACCCGTACAAAAGGCATTGTGCGAGTTAGTATGCGGTCCCGTGCGGATGAAAAGTTCAAGATCAGTTTTAATGCGTACATCATTGATTCAATCACGTCTATGACTCCTGCCACTACTATAGACATCAGGACCAGTCATCATTTAAATGGTCTTCATTTGGCAGATCCGGCGTTCGGTATACCAGGTCAAGTAGAACTACTTATTGGCGCAGATATTTGGCCTGCCCTAGTATTAAACGATGTTGTTGTCGGTTCTCATAACGAACCATGCGCATTACACACTCGTCTCGAATGGGTAGTGCTTGGTCCAGTAGCACCGAACGAGTCGAAACCAGTCTTACTTTCCTCTCTTGTGGACGTTCAAGATGATTCTACCACCGATAAACTTCTACGAAAATTTTGGGAAATCGAAGAACCTTCTGATAACACCAAGGCAGAGGTGGACAAATGTGAAGAGATTTTCGCCAGAACGGTTACGCGACTTCCAAATGGTCAGTATATTGTACAGATCCCGTTTCGATCTGATGCACCTGCCCTTGGAAACTCACATCCGGCGGCACTTCGACAATTTTTGAAACTAGAGCGGATATTGGCAAACGACTACGCACTGAGGGAGAAATACGTGGAATTCATGAGGGAATACATCAAGTTGGGACACATGGAGGCGATAGATGGTTCTCCAGATGGCATGGGAAGCTGTTATTACATCCCTCACCATGCTGTTACGACTAAATTCAGAGTAGTGTTTAACGCATCGTGTAAAACAACCAACGGCGTATCTCTTAACGATACGCAACTAAGTGGACCCCAGCTACAGGAAAACCTGGTTGACATACTTCATCGATTTCGGCGGTATTCAGTTGCTCTCACAGCTGATATCAGAAAGATGTTCCGACAAGTAATGGTTGATTCACGGCATCGAAAATGGCAACAGATACTTTGGAGGGAGTGCCCTAATGAACTCTTGCGTACCTATCAACTTTCTACAGTGACGTACGGTATGGCAAGCAGTCCTTTTAATGCTATTAGAACATTGAGGCAGTGTGCCTATGATAATTGGGAAGTGATCGCTGACGTCAGCCGGGCAGCCGCAGCACGGGACAGCATCCTTCATAGCTTTTATGTCGATGATTATTTGGAAAGTGTTCACACGACAGAACTGGCCATCAACCGGGCAAGCGACGTTGATGCCATTCTTCAACTAGGTAAATTTGAATTAGATAAGTGGAACTCCAACTGCGTCCAGACCCTGGAAGGAATCAGTGGCTCTAAGGCGTCTGCATCGGAGATAAATTTTAGCGATTCCAGCACAACGGTATTGGGCCTACACTGGAATCCTATTACTGATACCTTATTTTTCAAGGTTAAGGTATGTAACTTTGACACAATTCCTACTAAACGGATTGTTTTGAGTGATATTGCAAGGTTGTATGATCCTTTGGGGATGCTGGCACCAGTTGTCGTGACGGCCAAGATATTTGTTCAAAATCTATGGTTGGCGAAGTTAAGTTGGGATACGCCTCTCCCATCTGATCTTCGTGAGACTTGGATGAAATACCGGAACAGTCTACAGGGTCTTGAAAATATCAAAATACCACGATGGCTGGGAATCAAGGAAAATTCTGTATCGACGCTGCATGGGTTTTGCGATGCGAGTACCAAAGCTTACGCAGCAGTTATTTACTTGCGCAATACCAGTGCTGACGGAGCATGCCATACATCCTTGATTGCCGCAAAAACAAGAGTTGCCCCATTGAAGGAAATGACGATCCCTCGTCTAGAGCTTTCTGCAGCTCAACTACTGGTTACAACTATGAACAAAATACGTCGTGCTTTGCAGTTTGAGGATGCTGCTTACACATTATGGAGCGACTCGACAATTGTTCTCCATTGGATTCGGCGACAACCCTCTTCATTGAAACAGTATGTAGCGAATAGGATAGCTTTCATACAATCAAAATCGGATATAAACGCGTGGCGACACATTCGATCAGAATACAACCCCGCCGACTGCGCGAGCCGCGGAATTACACCGGTCGCTATCAAGGGGAATGAACTCTGGTGGAAGGGACCACCTCTCATCCACGCGTTTAATGAATCGTCATCACCGTTACCAAGTCTCACGACTGAAGAAAACCAATTTTTGATTGGAGAAAGCCGACCGTTTAGGGTGCATCTTGGCCTTGGCATTGGGAATGGTTTATTGATGACATCCTTTCGAACATATCGAATACCTTTGGTAGCAAGGTTTAGCCGTTTGAATGCCTTACTTAATACAACTGCGCGAATTCGTCGAATTATGCCGGCATTTAGGAGTCAGAGATCAAATGAGTTGATTACTGCTGAAGAGAAGGAGTGGGCACTGATCACGCATATTCGTCAAAGTCAAGGTAATATGTATCATTCTGAAATTAAAGCACTCAAATCCCATTCCAGCATCGACTCGTCCAGTAAATTGCTTCCATTAAATCCGATTTTGGATGAAGAAGGCATACTCCGCGTAGGAGGTCGGTTGACAAACTCGGAATTACCGTATGAGCAAAAACATCCAATCATTCTTGCTTATACTTGCCCACTAGCAAAACTCCTCGTAGCTGATGCTCACAAGTGCTGTCTCCATGGTGGGATACAGGAAATGCTGCAATACTTGCGCATGCGATTTTGGATTCTCCATGCACGTCGGATTGTAAAGTCATATCTACATCAGTGTGTCGTATGCCGTCGACACTCCCGGATAACGCATCAGCAACAGATGTCGTCACTTCCGAAATCACGCGTTATGGTTGCCCCACCGTTTACCCATACCAGGTTGGACTATTGCGGTCCATTCAACGTTCGTCATGGAGGAAAGCGATCCACTACCATGACTAAAACATACGGCGCAATTTTCATTTGTATGGCTACAAAGGCCGTACATATCGAACTTGCGGAAGATTTGTCAAGTCAGGCGTTTATCGATGTGTTTGATCGCTTCATAAGCCGACGCGGCATATGTTCGGTTCTTTATAGCGACAATAGAACGCAATTTGTAGGTGCTAGTCGGGTTATGAATCAAGACCTACAAAGTTGGAGAAATATATACGCAACTCAGTATATAGCATCTTCCGGAACGCAATGGAAATTCATCACTCCAGCCGCACCCCATCATGGAGGTCTTTGGGAGGCAGCTGTACGTTCAGCAAAAAAACATCTCTATCGCACAATTGGTCGCCAAATCTTACGCTTCAATCAACTAAGTACTCTACTAGTTAGGATTGAAGCCTGTTTGAATTCCAGGCCTCTCGTTCCTCTTCACGATGATCCCAGTGGGAGTTACGCTCTCACACCTGGCGACTTTCTCATTGGTCGACCGCTCAATTCGAGACCAGAACCACCTGTTGTGGATGTTCCAAAAAATCGTCTTTTATATTCTCAGCAATTACAACAAATGTTCGAACACTTCTGGAAGCGTTGGAACTATGAATATTTATCCACCCTTCAAGCGCGCCGCAAGTGGGAAAGTCGACGTCAGAATCTACAAGAAGGAGATGTAGTACTGATTTTAAACGAGAATCTACCCCCTACGCATTGGCGCATTGGACGCATCACGGAAGTTCACCCAGGCAGTGACGGATTGGTACGAATAGTAACTGTTGAATATAACAGTGACAAACGTACAACTGAAGGACTTTTTGTAAAACACTACTGCCAACGTCCAGTGCAAAAGATTTGCCGTCTTATTGACCCAAATCAAGAAGTTCTGAACCTAGAAGGTTCAGCCGGGGAGGAATGTTAACGATTCATCATAAGTTCCATTAACTTGAGAGATTTATGCTATACAATTTGGCAGCACCATTCTCTAGGTGCAATCTGGCATCATCATTATCAGCTGATGCACTTTAGGTTCGGCATTTCTACCGTTGTTTGGGTCAGACCATTGTGAAGCACACAAGAACAACAGGAATCACCATTATCAGGTGATGCGTTTGGCTTTGGCATATCATACCATTCTACAGTTGTTTAGTCAGGCCATTTTGCCGTATACAATAACAACTTTGTTATTTTTGTCAGTTCTCTTACATACTAATTTTCTATATAAGCATAAGTTAAGCATAAGATTGTGTTCAGTTGTTTGTCAAAGGAATTGGATGGTACTTGGAGCGTACCAAAGAAATAGTGGAAATAGTGATAATAATAAAATAATCAAAATCGTGTTTGCAATCCGTCATTAGAACATTGAGTGTTTAGTGCATTCCTAAACAGCGACCTTTGCTTTTTTTTAAGTCTGGGGGCGTCACTGCATCACATCGGAAGTATGCTGATCCCTTAACTTTGTTTTTGAATTGTTATTTACATAAGTAAAAGGGAGATGTCGATTTTTCGACTTTCTTCGGACAATTTGTTATATAATATGTTATGTTAAATGCGTATGCACTAATTTGGCAAGTAGTAGCACGCCATATAGCATAAGATTTTTGAAGTGGGATTTTTATATCATTATTGGCAAGATTGTGTTTTTAAACCTGATTAAAAGGGTGATAAAAATAAAAAAAGAGTATATAAAAATATCTGATAGGATTTTGAACTTAGGCAAAATATTTCACGTTGTTTACTTGCTTCAAATGTTCATATAGTCACATGTGAATATTCTTGAAATTGCCTCCTTCATTCGCATGTGCAAATATTATATTTGCATATATGCACACATATGTACATATGTATGTCCCTCAATATATCTTTCGCAAAAAATCAAACATTCGCGCAAGTGACAAAAAAACGAAGACGCAGCATCATCGACCAATAATATTCAAGCAAACTCGCGGCATAGTTTCTAAGTATTTTATATTACAACGACAACAAATTCATTCATAAGAAATGTGCGTCTGCTTCAACGCAAAGTGCGTTCGTTCATAACTCTGCGCCGCGCTATGGTTTCTGTGCGCTTGGTAAACCACATTTGGTTTTCATATAGCACTCTGAAATACATCGAGGACACGAAAATTCAGACTTTCGTCAATGGGATACGAGATAACACTACACGTTTCGCTGCATTAGCATGTCCAAAATTGACGTTTGCAGAAACCTTTTCTTATTTTCTGACACAGGAAACTGCATCTCTGCTTTGCAATCAAACATTTAAAGCTCACAAAGTAGAAATAGAGGAACACACTTGGGTGAACCAATTACTTGAAAAAATTGACAACATGCAGAAAGCACTGGAAAAATCTACGGAAGCGCATAAGAAAAATGATGGTTTTCTTAAATGCTTCAATTGCGGATAAAGTGGTTACATTGCATGCAACTGGAACCAGCCCAATAATCCAGCTGGACGTAAACGCAAAGGTAGTAGTCATGGAAATGCTGATGCCATGTCCCGCCCTCCCTGTAATCTGGAATGCAGACATTGCTCAAAAGCAGAGGCCAAGGAAGACATTATAGATGTCCGATTAATGACTATAACATCAGACTGGGATCCGGAAAAGCTACGGAAATGTCAGCAAGAGGATCCAGATTTGAAAAGTGGTCAACACGGATTTGAGATGAATAAACATCCAACGAGAGAAGAAATAGCTGCAGAAAGCCTAGTCGCAAAGGCTTATTGGGCACAATGGAATAGTTTGAAGTTAGTGTCTGGCTTGCCGCATCGTGTATGGGAAAGCGAAGATGGGCAAAAGTTCACGAGCTTTGATGATTATTCAACCGGGCAAGCGACGTTGATGCCATTCTTCAACAAGGTAAATTTGAATTAGATAAGTGGAACTCCAACTGCGTCCAGACCCTGGAAGGAATCAGTGGCTCTAAGGCGTCTGCATCGGAGATAAATTTTAGCTATACCTTAGCCGATACCTTATTTTTCAAGGTTAAGGTATGTAACTTTGACACAATTCCTACTAAACGGATTGTTTTGAGTGATATTGCAAGGTTGTATGATCCATTGGGGATGCTGGCACCAGTTGTCGTGACGGCCAAGATATTTGTTCAAAATCTATGGTTGGCGAAGTTAAGTTGGGATACGCCGCTCCCATCTGATCTTTGTGAGACTTGGATGAAATACCGGAACAGTCTACAGGTTCTTGAAAATATCAAAATACCACGATGGCTGGGAATCAACGAAAATTCTGTATCGACGCTGCATGGGTTTTGCGATGCGAGTACCAAAGCTTACGCAGCAGTTATTTACTTGGGCAATACCAGTGCTGACGGAGCATGCCATACATCCTTGATTGCCGCAAAAACAAGAGTTGCCCCATTGAAGGAAATGACGATCCCTCGTCTAGAGCTTTCTGCAGCTCAACTACTGGTTACAACTATGAACAACATACGTCGTGCTTTGCAGTTTGAGGATGCTGCTTACACATTATGGAGTGACTCGACAATTGTTCTCCATTGGATTCGGCGACAACCCTCTTCATTGAAACAGTATGTAGCGAATAGGATAGCTTTCATACAATCAAAATCGGATATAAACGCGTGGCGACACATTCGATCAGAATACAACCCCGCCGACTGCGCGAGGCGCGGAATTACACCGGTCGCTATCAAGGGGAATGAACTCTGGTGGAAGGGACCTCCTCTCATCCACGCGTTTAATGAATCGTCATCACCGTTACCAAGTCTCACGACTGAAGAAAACCAATTTTTGATTGGAGAAAGCCGACCGTTTAGGGTGCATCTTGGCCTTGGCATTGGGAATGGTTTATTGATGACATCCTTTCGAACAGATCGAATACCTTTGGTAGCAAGTTTTAGCCGTTTGAATCCCTTACTTAATACAACTGCGCGAATTCGTCGAATTATGCCGGCACTTAGGAGTCAGAGATCAAATGAGTTGATTACTGCTGAAGAGAAGGAGTGGGCACTGATCACGCATATTCGTCAAAGTCAAGGTAATATGTATCATTCTGAAATTAAAGCACTCAAATCCCATTCCAGCATCGACTCGTCCAGTAAATTGCTTCCATTAAATCCGATTTTGGATGAAGAAGGCATACTCCGCGTAGGAGGTCGGTTGACAAACTCGGAATTACCGTATGAGCAAAAACATCCAATCATTCTTGCTTATACTTGCCCACTAG